TTTAGTTCTAGAGTGAAAATACAATAATTTATGATCTCTTTGGTTACCAAATTTACTTCCAGATACATAAACTATCATGAAATAAAAAAAGCACTTAATATAACTGAGCAAGTGGTTGAACCTGTTCCTGCAGAAAAAGATGATGACGGCGACACAGCTGATGAAGGATGTAGCACAGCCCACAGAGGAAATGGCAGACAGGGCCAGTAGGTGGCGCACTGGTTTAAGCTCCATTTGCTGAAAGAAAACAGTGCAATGAGAAGAACATCAGGGTGTTTGTAAGACAAAAAAAGCAAAGTAGGTCAATGTTAAAAGATAAGGAAACTAAAACAAGAGTTGTTTTATTTTATCTTAAAGATCATTACGAGCATCAAGCCTCACCACCAGCACTGAGAAGTAAGTCAGATGGTCACACTCGCACACCGTGTGCTTCGCTCCTTTCCGTTTTGTCATGCATCCATCCACCAACCAGTTCACCTTCAAGGGATCTGCACCAGGAAACAAAACCCCATGAAAACACTGTGCTGAATTAAAGCAAAAAGGTTTCATGACTGTAAAATAAAGACTTCCAACCTTTCAGAGTGTCCCAGGAAACACATTTCCTTTTATAGTTCCACTGAAAAAAAATAACAATAATTTATTCAGAGAGAGAAAACCTGGATGTTTGACTGTAACACCAACTGCTGCAGCAGAAATAAACTGTTTCTTGACACCATTTCTGGTAGAGATAGCGTGCTTTGCCGCAATATGTCACCTGCAGACATTTGGGTTAGCGAGATATGAGAGCAGCTCAGAAACCTACAGGTGGTTTTTGTGTGTTCTCTAAGGAGCTCTGTGTGATAAACAAAAGGGTGGAACTGTGTGAAAAGATCACTGACACCCCCCCCATCCTCCCAACCACTGACATAAAGTAATTAAAGTGAACAATGAGTGTTTATAGTAAGACGACATTTTACAGCCGCTGACCTGAAGCTAATTCTACAGAGACCAAAACATAAAATACAAATAAAGGTTTTCAGTTTACAAATCAAAACATTAAAACTGTGATATTCAAAATACGGCTGCAACTAACAAGTATTTTGCAATTTGATTAATCTGTCGATTATTTTTCTGATTAAATGCACACTATGCAACATTTTTCAGTTAATTAATGTGTTCCATAACGTTTTGGATGATTAAATGAGT